GGGGATATATTACAATGGCACCTGGAAGTGGGTGGGGGGATATATTACAATGGCACCTGGAAGTGGGTGGGGGGATATATTACAATGGCACCCGGAAGTGGGGGGGATAATGTGCCCTGCAACACATCAAACATGGCTTGAGGAACACAAGTTTGAGGCGATGACTTGGACTCCAAATTCTGCAGATCTTAATCTGGTCGAGCATCTGTGGGATGTGCTGGAAAAACAAGTCCAGTCCATGGAGGCCACACCTCACAACTTACAGGACTTAAAGGATCTGCTACTGACGGCTTGGTGCCAGATACCACAGCATATCTTTGGAGGGGTCAGGAAAAGGGGGACCTACTCAATAGTGTGTGTGTGTGGTATATAATCTATCAAAAATTATTAAATTGTTTCACTTGAGCCATTATACTTATATGAGATCAGCTATCATACTGAACTGGCACCAGCCTGCAGAAAGTTAAAATCTGGCTTGCAGTCAATCTACCACTGAAAATTAATAAAGTTGTGGTAGGGGGGGGCTTAAAGGAGAACTATAGGGTCAGTGTTTTTCCCCATAGTTCTCCTTAGGGCAACGGGAGGACACAAACTAGCATCCTCCCGTTACCCTAAGCTCAGTATACCGCAAGCTACAGCTCCCTATATACTGAGACGCCGCAGCCGGAGCGGATCCCGACGTAGATGACGCGATCCGCCCAGCTGCGTGAGTGACAGCGTTGCCTATCTAGAGGCAGAGCCAGCTGTACCCGCCCCCTCCCCCGTCCGTTCCGCCAGTCAGCGCTGGCAGATCGGAGCGGGGAGGGGGGAATCCAGCCCCTCCCCCTGTCACGGCAGAGAGCCGTGACAGGATCGAGAGGCGAGCAAACCCGGTATGTGTTCGCTCACCTCCCGATCTACTGAGCCGACCTGTGACAGTCTCATTGTCACAGGTCGGCTAGAACTATGAGGTGAGTGAAAAGCACTCGCCTCATAGTTCTCCTTTAAGGAAGGGAAGGAACTCTAGTGGGATGCCGTCTTGAGTTTGCAAATGTTCAGTTGCTGTCTAAAGCGTAAATAATAGTCCATAGAGTTGCCCTTGTTGCTACTCTTTGCGGTTCACAGACATGCTGAAGCAGTTGGAATACAAGAGTGTGTAAATTATCAATCATTAGATAAATAAATACTGCATGTGCCGTTCCGTGTGCAATCCTGGCATGTGCCGTTCCGTGTGCAATCCTGGCATGTGCCAGGGTGAATTAACTCTGTGTGTATGAGCAAGCGCTATACCATCACAGCCTGGCCAGTTTAGATGGCTGGAGATCCTGGACCTGGAAGAATACCAGGCCAAGATGAGGAGCTTGCATAAGTATTTACCGCTTACAGGTCATGTCTCTGCCCAGCCTGTGCCTGGACAATAAAGAAGCAGCAGTTAGATGAACGCATCTTTCTGTCACTTTGTTCTCTGCTCCAATCAGCATTTCCCTTGTTAGAACATGAACATTGCAGCACAGCAATCCTGAGTCCAGTTCAGGTACTTACACTGCAATCAATACAGAGCTGTCTTTTTTTTTTGTCTTTTACTGTATATCTGCCTGGAGATCAGCTTTATATGCGTTGCTAGTAACCTATACCAGTCTGTCAGCATAGTAATTTGAGATATGGATTTTGATCATTTGCTGCTTTTTGCACATCATCTTTTGGTTTGTGAACTGCCCCACTAAAGTCTAAATGTGCAGTTTACTGTCTTCTTTGATCTCTGTATATGTTTCTAATCAGAAAACTTGCTTCTCTTCTTTTTTTTTTTCACCCCAGCATACTACAGACCCAGATGGGTGCCAGAAAGCAGCGTGGTGTCCTACAGTAAAGTGGGCATGCACAGGATTTTATAGCTCTAGTCCAGGCCTCCCCCCGATGGTAAAATGTCTGTCGATATGAACAGTCAAGGTTCAGACAGCAATGAAGACTACGATCCTATTGGTGAGGAGGAGGAGGAAGAGGAGGAGGAGGAGGAAGAAGATGACGACCCAGGAGATATAGAAGATTACTATGTTGGGGTTGCTAATGACGTGGAGCAACAGGGTGCAGACTCATTTGACCCAGAGGAATACCAGTTCACCTGTCTCGCCTACAGGGAATCGGAGAGCGCGCTCAATGAGCAGATGGTGAACTTGGCTTCCATGCTGCAGGTGAGTGCCACTTACGCTTGTAGAGGGGTTCTGAAGCTTGAACATTTTATAGAAGCTAGCATTACTAGTAAACGGCAGGAACACTAAACCTCTGGG